CAAGCTTGCGCGTTCCTTCACCCTCTGAGGAGCGAGAGGCTCAGAGGCTGTCGCTTCTGTGCGCCGGCTGCGGCGATATGTTGCGATATTTAAAAAGAGAGAGGACTTGGCACTTATCATGTTCCTTTTTTACCCATCTCCTAGTGAAGGTGCTCGTTTTATTTCTTTTTTATCATGAAATGCGCCAAGTGTAAATTTTCATTTGGCGCGAAACCATGTGGACGTCCGATTGACGTCGGTTACACTTTGCTTGGGGCGGCTCGCAAAAGTCGAAGAGAGACCAGCCGCAGCCGCAGCAGCCGCAGCAGCAGCAGCAGCAGCAGCAGCAGCAGCAGCAGCAGCAGCACATGGGGTGCGGTGCCTCGACTGATGGTGGGGCCAAGGCAGACGACGCCCCCGTGAAGAAGCCTGCCCCTGCGCCAGCAACCGCCGAAAAGGACGAGGCGCGGGCTGAGCCAGCTGCACCGGCGCCGGCACCGGAGGAGCCGCCCACACCCGCGCCGGAGGCGGAGCCAGCGGCTGATGCACCCGCCGAGGCTGAGCCAGACCCGCCGGCAGCTGAAGCTGAGGCCGAGGCGCCAGTGCCTGAACCTGAATCTGCCCCCGAGCCTGAGCCCCCGGCGCCGGAGGAGGCGGAGCCAGAGGCGGCGACCGAGGCGGAGCCAGAGGCGGCGACCGAGGCGGAGCCAGAGGCGGCGACCGAGGTGGAGCCAGAGGCGGCGACCGAGGCCGCGCCAGAGGAGACAGCCGAGCCACCCTCGGAGAAGAAAGGCTACGTGTACGGCTTTTTCGACATGAAGGACCCGCAGGAGTTCAAAGAGGTCTACAGTCCAATGGCGGAGCCCACGCTCGAGCCGTACGACGGCAAATTCATCATGAAGCACGCGCTGGCACCCCCGCTCGCGGAGAAGATGGGCATGAAGGAGTCCAAGGGCTTCGGTGAGACAGGTATGATGGCGTTTATGCTGGAGTTCCCATCCTTCGAAAAGGCGATGGGATGGTTCACCGGACCCGAGTACGCGGCCGTGCTGACAAAGCGCGACGAGGTGGCCGACTTTAGAATGGCTGTTGTTGAGGGCGCACCCATCGCGCCCGGGGCTGGCCTTGTCGTCGGCTTTTTCGACATGAAGGACCCGATGGAGTTCAAGACCGTCTATAGCCCCATGGCAGAGCCCACGCTCGAGCCGTACGATGGTGGGTTTGCCATCAAGCACGCGCTGGCGCCCCCGCTCGCGGAGAAGATGGGCATGAAGGAGTCCAAGGGCTTCGGCGAGACCGGCCAGATGGCTTTTGTGCTGGCGTTCCCTGACTTTGACAAGGCAATGGGGTGGTTCACCGGACCTGAGTACGCGGCCGTGCTGACAAAGCGCGACGAGGTGGCTGACTTCAAGATGGCTGTGGTGCAAGCGATGGGGTGAGGAGCGCGGCGCATGACTCTGACGTGTCTGGCACTTGTGGTGGCACAGGTTCGGCTGTCGTGTCGTGCATGAATGGAAAAACTAACGATTCCGTCCGATATGCGATTACGGCGTGCGTCCCTCCCCTCAACCTCTGCGTCGGGGCGGACCGGCGGCGATCTGTTCGGGCAAGTGCCGGCACCGGAATCGGTTCGGTGGCCTCGGCAGCAATCTGCCAGAGCATGTTCACCAACGATGCGGTGGGCACAGACGCTCGAAAGGCCCTGTTTGCGTTTGCGATTCTTGCAGTCCTTGGCACCGCCGTCATCTCCCGCAGGCCCGCTCGTGTACTCACAGCTGGGCCAGTGGAGAGGTATTGGATGTTCGGTTCTGCAGAAGGCCCTGCAGAACCACCCTATCCACCCATATTCCCTCCCCCACCGGCCAACTGCTGGCCGCCATGCGGTAGCAGATCCGGGGCGTGCCCAGACTTTTGCGGCGCCGGATCGGCGTGCTGCAAACTGAACCATGGCATGTTTGGCTCCTACGGCGACCCGTGGCCCTGTCCTCAGAGTATGCCTTCCTTCGACACCCATACTTGTACCGCTGCCGCAAGCGCGCCTCCGCCCTCACCACCCCCGCCCTCTCCGCCACCAAAGCTGCCGCCGTCACCGCCGCCACCCTTTCCCCCACCGCCCGACTGCTGGGAATCGTGCGGTCGCCGAGCCGGGGCGTGTCCCGAGTTCTGCGGCGCTGGTGGCGCGTGCTGCAAGGACGGGGAGCCGTGGCCATGCCCCGAGAGCATGCCGGCGCTCGCAATTCACACCTGCATTGATGCAGCCGCTGCCGCCCCGCCACCGACGTTGCCACCTCCCTCCTCGCCATCTTTGCCTCCCTCCTCTCCCTCGCCGCCGAGCCCACCCAGTCTGCCCCCACGAAAGCTAGACTGCGTCGAGATGCCCAAGTTCTTTGAGGCCGTCGCCATGACGCAGCTTCAAGGCTACCTGGAGACCATCCTCCCGACTCCTGTCACGGGCTGGGAGAGGAACACCCTCGCCGCCCTGACGGCATACAGGTACAACAATACCTTCCTCTCCGTCAAGGCAGCGGCTGCACTAGCCTGGGCCCCCTTGGTTCCCCATCGACAGCGAGCCGTCTCCTGACGGCCTCCGATCCGCACGCGGCAGGTCAAGACGATGAAGCTGATTGGCTGCCGGTACGAGGGTCGCGAGAGCTACGCCTGGGAGGCCTTCATCGACGGGTTCCACGACCTCGGGTACACGCTGACGGGCATCGACCGCCTCGACTCAGTTCGATCCAAGTACTTTCCGGACTCCATCCGTGTGGAGGTGTCTGGCATCGAGTGGACGGAGAGGATGCTGTACGAGGTGCGCTCCCTTGGCATCTACATGGGGGGCGGCAACGTCTCGGTCGCGGGCGAGGGGAGTATGTGGTTCGACGACCTCTCCATCGAGGCCTGTGTACCCGCGCGATCCCACCGCACGCGGCGCGTCCCACGCACTCCGTCCCGCCCACGGCCCCTCCCCTTCCCCGTCAACACTCGCAGGAGGAGGCGCTCGAGAAGGGGGTGGGCGGGTATGGAGCCCCAATCGCGTGCGGTGGCAACCTTACCCTCACGAAACTCAAGCTCACGGGCCCCTACAGCTATTTAGCGTCCTACTACCAGAGCGGGCCCGGCCGGCCGGATATCGAGAATTACGGCTGCTATGGGCATGAGGTGTACACCAACGACCTGTCGTCTGGGTGGGAGTACGTCGGACCGGGCCTGGAGCAGCCAGGAATCGTCGGCATGTTTCACGACTACATGACGGAGGCGTGCCCCCCCGGGGAGCATTTGTTACACCCGCTCGAACGGTGCTGGTTCATCGACAGCTGGTTCGAAGCGCTGCTCAAGGGTGGACAGGGCCAGGGCCTGATCGACGGTCAGCAGCTTCTAAAGGACGAGGGCATCGTGATGCCCGGCTTCATCGCAGCCCCGTGGGATTTCTTCCAGACCCACATCGAGGACATCTGGGAGAATGTGGACGGCTTTGGGGAGTACATCGCCTCTGCCGGAGACCAGAGCATGTTGTACGCACCGCTTCATGACGCGCTCGTGGACGACGAGATGGTGGACATCCTTGACAGCATCTCCTCCGCGGCCGAGCGGAAAGACAGACGGCAGGGCATCTTTACGAGGGGCGATCTCGACGCCGGGCTGAATGACGGGCAAAAGACCTGCCTGAGGTGGGCCCTCATCTTCTGGCAGCTCAAGGAGGAGGGGCGCCCCCTCTCGAGCATCGAGAGCGCAGAGACGGCGGAGCTGCTGCTCTTGGCGAGCGTGAGGTGCGGCCTTGCGCTCGAGCTGGAGGACGGCGCGGCCGCGGATGCGCCGGGATGATGGCTGATGTGGGAGGACTAGTCAGTTTGTGGTGAGAGTCGTTATTCCATCAAGATCCTTATACAGAGTCGGCACCTCTGGTGGGGTGCGGTTGCAGCGGCCAGCGCGCAGCGCCACATGCTCGTTTTGATGGGACACCCACGGAATCCAACTGCGTACTACTTATCTTCGTGGCTTGCACGCTATTGGCATGCCGACGGCTAAGGCCGAAATCGTTATTGTTCACACCTGCAACAGGTGTGTGAGCACAAAGCTCAAAAGGTTTTTCTCGATAGAGAGCTGTATCTACTCAGCCATGGAGGACCCGTCGCCAGACGACGCAGGGCAGAAGACGGTGAGGCAGAGCAGACGCGCAGGGCGAGACGAGGGAGGGAGCAGGACTTTGCGGAGATCAGCAGGAGGATGTACGAAGAGATTAGGAGCAGCAGGGACCCGAGGGACCATGTGGAAGACGGCTAGTGCTAGTCCCCCATCGGGAGGACGACCCCGGCTAGTCGCCGACCACACCCACAAAGAACCCTGCACAAAGATCGCAAGGGCGGGGCCTGTTCCTTTTTACCCATCTCACAGTAGAGAGGTGTCCGTTTTTATTTGAGCACTTGAGCACTGGATAGGGCCGATTCCGCGTGGTACGGGACCCCTCGATCGTCTCGCCCTCCCTCACTGGTGTGTTCATCGGGGGGGGTCATAACAAACACGGTACAGGATCGAGGTGCACGCTGCCGAAGCAGTGTCGTCCCCTCTCTCCCCGACGGCGTTTGTATTTATTTATTTAGCTGCTCGGCTTATACCTTAGAGCTCTACGCCTAATGAAGCGTGAACCAGCGTCACGAATTTGCCGAACAGCGATCCTTTGAACGATCTCGGTGTCGAAACACCGCTCTGACAGCGCTCAACAGTCTGTTCATCGCCATCGGCGGGGGCAGCTGCTCTCCCCTGTCAGAGCGGTGTTTCGTTCGATCGACACCGATATCCGTTCAAAAGAACGCTGTTCAAACTCGTGACGCTGTTCACGCTTCACAGGTAAGTATAAGCGGAGCAGCTGAGTAGATACAGCTATTTCACACACACCTGTCAGCAGAGGTGTGAACAAGAGCGATTCGGAATTTGAGCATTGACAGCATGATCGTCCGTCCCCAAGGTTGACTTAGCACTGACTTCGCCGCGCACCTGCTCCGCCACCTGCTCCGCCGCCGATCTCCATGTGGGCCTCCCTCACGCGCAAGCACAGCCAAGCGACCAGCCTCACCGCAGGTTCGACCGAGCAAGACCCCACCGCCTGGTCGGCCCCGCTGACGCCACCAGCGGGTCAGTACTCAATCAACCTGCGGGTGTCCCGAGAAGATGTGGCTTCTCACTGGGACAACGAGTATCCACAGGGGGGACCCACCAAAATTTGGGGGGTGTGGGGAGAACTCGCGGCTCTCAATCACGGGCGGTGGTGTGCCCGAGGGCAGGTTGCGGCTGGCCCTACGGTTGCTCCTTGCTGCGCCGGCATGCGTGTGGGAGGCTGTCCGGTGGAACCTCGTCTGGCGCAGCCTGCTGCAGCCGGGTGTTACGAGGGACGCACTGCTCCTCGTGTGGACGTTCACTCTGCTGGCGGACCTGATGCTCCTTCCGCTGGTCGGGAGGTGGAGCGACGGGATGCGCTCGCGCCTCGGCCGGCGAAAGCCTCTCCTCGTCGCTGCTGCGGTCCTCGGCGCGCTCGCCGCGGCGTGGGTGCCAGACGCGCCACAGCTGTGTGCCTTCACCTTCCTCGCCTTTGCAGCCTGCAGCCCGCTCTTCCTCGTCGGGCACGGCTCCCTCCTCGTCGAGGTGACGCCGCTGCACCACTGCCGCGCCTCCCTCCTGGCGGGCACCGAGGCGGCGCGCGCTGCGGGCTCTCTCATCGGAATCGGCCTCCCGCTGGCGCTGGGTGTCGAACCAGCGGACGCGACGAGCCGGCTGCTGGCAGCGCTGCTGAGCATCTTGCTTCTCGCGAGCGCGGGGCTGCTCGCCGCCCTCGTGCCGGAGCGGTCCGTCGAGCTGCTCCGCGATCCGCACCCGCCCCGCGGGCTCGCCGCCGACGTGGTCAGCGTAACGCTCAACCGCATGTTTCGGCCGGTGCTCACCGCCGAGGCCTGCCTTGAGCTGGCCGCCGCTGCGACGCTCTTGATCGGCGTCGCCGCCTCGCACTCTCTGCCCGTCGAGGGAGGCGTCGAGGAGGGCGGCGTCGAGGAGGAGGAGGGCGCTGCGATATGGAGGCCGGACCAGCTGGCACACCGCGGACTCGCACTCTTCTTCGCCGGCCGGCTGGTCGCGCTTCCCGCCTGGCACGCGGCCGCGTGGTGCTGCGGCGTCTTCAGCGCCGCTATCGCGCGCAAGCTGGTCGCCCTCCCGGCGGCGTACGCCGTCTGCGCCTTCACGCTCCTCTCGCCGCACGCTCCCTCGCTGTACGAGCCGCAAGGCGTGTGGCTGGCAGGCGCGGCGGTCACGGCGCTCGGCGCCGCGTGGAGCGGCGGGTTCGGGGTCCACTGCTTGGCGGCAAGCGCCGTCGACTACGACCACCTTCTGACTGGCGAGCGGCGCGAAGGGACGTACGAGGCGGTGCGCCGCGCTCTGCCCAGGCTCATCGTGGCGTGCGTTGCCACGCCGCTCCTCCTGCTTGCACACGAGCCGTGCCTCGCCGGCAGCGACTGCTATGACCGGCTGCTGCGCGGCGACTCGCTCGCGACGCCGATTCTGCTCGCCACGTCGCTCGCCCTCGCGATCTGTGCCGCCGCGGCCCTCGCGTGCTATCCCGCCCGGGCGTCCACGCAGAGGGCGGCGGTGCTCGTCGCTGCTGTCGGACGGCACGTCGGGATCGCGGCGGCGCACGACCCGCTGCACGGGCACGAGCTCAAGCCGCTGGCCGACACCGCGGCCGACCGCAGCCGCGCGCACGAGCTGCTCCTCCAGTTCTGGCCGAGCGAGATCGCATTCGCCGTGCGGCGCGGCACGGCCGTCGCGCTCTACGCTCTGCCCCTCGCCCTCTGCGTGCTGTCGCTCGCCGCAAGCACGCCCGCCCACCACCGCGTCTGGCGCTCGCGCGACGGCGTAGAGCTCGCCGGCGGAGGCCTCGGCCTGTGCGTCGGGGCGCTCTCCCTCTGCTTCAACTTCAGCCGCCTCGTCGCGGCGTGGCGGCTGCGGCGCGAAGGTCTGGTGTCGACGACAGAGGTGCTGACGGCACACCTCGAGATGCTGCAAGATTTCACGGGCGGCTCTCGCGTGCAGCGCACCTCGTCGCGCCGGGCGCGAACCCCGGCGCCAGTCTCGCGCATCACCATTCGAAGTTGGCTGCCTGTTGGCAGACGCGCCCGCTCGTCGCCGCCGCTGGCGCGGGCCGCAAAGACAGAGACTGAGGCGGTCGCCGTATCCGTCATCGAAATGACGCGAACGCCCAGGCGACGCTCCTCGCATGGCGGGGCCGGGGGGCGGAGGTCGTACCAGGCCGCGGTGTAGCCTCTGTAGTCTTGGCTCTTGCAGTAACCAGTAAACAGTATCCAGTAACACGTGCTCTGTTGATTGCGTGCGCGCATACGTGTTCTCTCGCTCTCAAGTCTCATGTTGTGCATGTGGTTGCGTACATCTCGTTTGCACAGCGCTTCACACGTGCTGACTACACGAGCAGATAAGTCACAAGAGAAACTCAAACACACATCGGAACTCTGTTTTCATGGATATGCGCCGTGCGGGTCGACCCTGTCGCACATGGCCAACCCCTGTCAGGGAGGGCGGCGGGAGGCGGAGAGGGAGCTGCTTTCGTTCTTGATCCTGTCCCTCGCGTCTCGAGGGATCTGCGCCAAAACCTTCTCGTGCTCGGCCGTTGGTCGCTGCATGCTGCGATGCACGGCTCGCTGCCGCTCTTGGTGCGCACTCATCCGCACGAGCTTGCCCATCACGTCGATGGCGCCGCCGAGCCCGCCCTCTTGCTTGTCGAGCACCTGAGTGGGGCCGGCACGAGCTCGGGACGAGGGGAGGACGAGGGGGCGAGGGGAGGACGAGGGGGCGAGGGGGGCGGCGAGAGGAGGGGGTCGAGAGGCTCCGCACGTGCTTGGACGGTTCCTCCACCCTCTCGGCTCTCGGCGATCTCGCGATCTCGTGGCAATCTCGCGCCTCCTCCGCCAGCTCGACCCGCTCCTCGCTCAAGCACGCCTGCAGCAGCTTGAGCTCCGAGGCGAGGGAGACGCGTGCGCCGGTCGCGCGAGCTGCGGCGAGCTGCTCGGCGGCGAGGGGAAGAAAGGGTCCGCCGGCGAGGGAGAGGGCGCGCACGGCGGAGTTGCGGAGCTGCAAGTCGAGCGTCTGCGCGAGATCGAGGACCTGCAATTCAATATTAATTAATTAATTAATTAATTAGCGTCTGCGCGAGATCGAGGACCCGCGAGGCGTCAGAGAGGCATGGCGGTGCGAGAGGGGGTGGCGGAGAGCGGCCGCTCTCTTACCCACGCGAGGCGTGCTGCCCTTCTCCCCTCTTCCCTTCCCTTGCCTTCCCTTCTCTCCTCCTCGCCTCCAGCACTCGAGCCATGCTTCCCTCCGCCGCGAAGCCAGCGAGCAGGGGGGAGAGCATCTGCGGCGTCGGCGGCTCGGGCCTCGCATGCACCGCCTCCAGCCCGACCTGCGGGGCAGCCTCTCGCAGCTGACTTCACTGCGGGGCGGGCGTCGCCCCTCTGGAGAGGCGCGCCTCGGGCTTCCCGGCAGTGGTGCACGCGGCGGCGAGGCTGCTTGCCAGCCTCCTCTCGCTCTTCTCCCAGCCGCTCGGTGGGTCGGACCTCCAGCACGCGTCCACCTCCGCGCCCCCGCGGGTCGCGCCTGCACGCTCGGCCACCGCCCAGAGCGCGTCCGCGGCGCTGCCACGCCGGTACGTTGGCTGCTGCCCTCGTCTCTGCTGCTCTCCTCCCTTACTGCCGTCGCCTTCTGAGGCCGACCCAGCCGCGCCAGCCCGCAGCACACCCTCGTCTGCGAGATCGTGTCGCCAGTGTGCGTCGCCCCCTCCGGCAGCCCCAGCAGCCGCGCTGCCCGCAGCCCCTCCCTCTGCCGCCGCCGAAGCCTGCAAGGCGTCGGCTCCGGCGCAGAGGTGCATGTAGATGGCAAAGGCGCGGTCGAGGCGGCCAGAGACGCCGTGCGCTTCCACGAGCTGGCAGGCCATGTAGGCCATAGAAATCTCCGACAGCACCTGGCTGTCGCGGCGCCTCTCCTGACTGGTGAGCCCCGAGAGGAGCTCGGACGCCTCGCTGGCCAGCTGCAGCACGGCGTCGGGCTCACCGAGCGAGGCGTGCGCCTTCGACGCGACCTTCAGGAGCGCGACGCCGGGCGAAGGGTGTTGCTCCCGCGCGACCTGCAGCAATTCGAGCACGCGGTTCGCCGCTTGCGCGCCATTCACCTCCTTGTCGACCTGCAGGAATGCCGCCGCTAGCACCGCCAAGTCAGGCAGCGCGACCTGCACGCCGGCCTGGCGGAGGGTGCGGTAGAGAGTCCACGCGACACCACCGTTGCGGCATTTTGACACCGATTCGATTGCGCTGCGCACCTCGGACGCTGTCGGCAGTGGAGGCAGATCTCGGGCCTCGCGGCCGGAGCCCTGGCCAGGCGGCCTCGCCTCGAAACGCTGCCTCATCTGCTGTATGACACGATCCGCCGCTGCCACCGGCGACTCGGGCCGCTGCTGCTGTCCGCCTCTGTGCCTTGCGCCACAGAGGCGGACAGCAGCGTGGCGAGGCGCCGCTCTGGTGAAGAGTGCGCGTGAGGAGCGCATGAGTGGAGAGAGCCGTGTGGATGCCGAGACAAGTCGCTTTTTCGAAAAGAATTTTAACAATGTGCGTCCTCCCTTGGGTTGTCCGTTTTCTTTCTTTCTTTCTTTCTCTCCCGACACTGGGCACGGGACTGGCGCGCTGGCACTGACCCACAAAAAGAATTTTCCTTAGTTTGATTGTTTGCGACTTCAACGGTAGTTCCAACCGTTTTCGGCCGCGGCTCAGAGCACGGGCTCAGAGCACGTCAGAGGACGGGGGAGCCGGGGACACTCAGCGCTTGCCGCTTCAGCTCGAGCTGGTGGGCTTCGGACAGGGTGACGCACTTGAAGCCGCGCTCGCGCAGACGCGGGAGCAAGGTGGCGAGCACCTGGCCGGGGAGGAGCAGCCGGGCTGGTTGCGGCGCTCCGGAGGCGGGGGCGAGGCTCGCGGCCATGCTAGCGGGCGTGCTCGCTATGATCAGCGCACATGCAGGTTGTTTTCGCGGTAGTTTGGCTCCGGGGTGTGGATGATGAGGATCGAGCCAGGCTGGCTGCAGCGCTCGACGTACTCGATCAGAAACTCCGTGCTGTCCTGCAGAGCCACGTCATGGTTGTACACGTCTCCCAGGACGCAGTGGTAGTCGCACCGCTGCAGCTCTTGCAGCATGCTCGACGTGAAGACGCCGCAGGGGGGCCGGAACCACTTGGCGCCCTGGCCGTAGCTGTATTTGCTGAACTTGTGCAGGGCCGTCTCGCACTCTAGCAGCTTCTCGCGAAACTCTTCCGCTTCGTAGCGGTGCGCCGGCTCGTCTGCAACCATGTGGTTCCCAAATTCGTGCCCCTCCTCCACGCAGCGGCGCATCACCTCCGCGTTGTCCTCGTTGACGTACGACGAGATGACGAAGAAGGTGGCACGCGCCTCGTTCTCCTGCACCAAAGGACCCTCGACGGGGTGAGAGGCGCTGGAGAGAGGGGCGGCCATTTGCTTCTATCAACAGTGTGCCAGCCCGGCATCTACCAGTGAGATCCTTCAGGATGTCCAGCACTGCGTGTCCCCAGGCGGAATGACGTGCCGGAGCGTCGTCTGTGGCGAGTGGGGAAAGGCTGAGAGGTGGTTCAGAGGCGGAGAGAGCCTTTGTGGCTTACCACCGACCTATTGTGAGAGCAACGACTCGATTCTCCTCCCCAACCTCGAAGAAGAAGCGCGTGCCGCCGACGAAGGATGGGGAGAAGGCACAGGCAGCCCTCGCGACTCGGCGCACTCCGATCCACGTGAATAGGGTCCACAACAAGCGGAGCGCCTGGAAGGAAGGATGATGACGATGAGTAAGGGAGCGACGCACCTGGCTAGCGATGCACCTGATTAGAGGCGTGTCCAAGGGTGTGGAGAGCGGTGCCCGGGCCGTGAAACGACTGCCCGTCGAGCGGGTACGCAGTCGTAACAGGCCGCTCTGCGCAGCGCTGATCGCCCGCGCAGATGGCCAGACGCCCGAGCCTGGTCTCATCGTCAGGAGGGACATGCCCTCCTCGCGGCATATTTTCGTGCCCAGTGTTGTGCGAGGGAGTTTTGTTAAGATTCTTTTCTTCGGCGCAGAGGGTATTTTGGCCTGGCGAGTAGAGGCACACGCACGCTCTCTCGAGGTCTCTTGGAGCAGAGCCCCGGCGAGCCCTCGGTCCTCGGAGAGGGTACCCTGGGTGGGCGGGGCGAGAGAGAGAATTCTTGATACGAAACCACGACGACACACACCAGTCGACTCGCATCGGTTGCCTCCATGAACGGCGGAGCTATTCTCGCGCCCACACCACACCTGGCTCCAACGTGGACACGCCCATAGCTGGGGACACTACTAGGTCACGCATGGCATCACAGAAGTTTTATCTCTGGGCCCCGAAAGGCATCTCTAGCAGTGTCGTTACACATGCCCCCTCCCCTCCTGGGCGCATGCGCCTCACGTCTCGCCAGAGCATAAGCCCTTGGCGTGTGGCGAGACGAGTTTTTCGCCATCGCAGCGAGCAGCAAGCCGCCCGCCGCAAACAGCCGGAGGCCTCGCCGCGGCACTGGCTGCGCCGCGGTCCCGCACCCGTCGACGCAGCTCCCCCCGCGGAAGACCGCGCGTAGCAACGTCTTGACGATCGAGATGAGCGTGCCTGAAGCTCGCCCACCTACTGCCCCTGAGAGTTGGTTATTGAGTGGGATCAGCTCCCCCCCTTGGGATCGAAGCCGCCACAACCTCACACCCAACATCCCAGGCGGGATCAGAAGGGGACTCCACACCGGACACCGCCCGGGCACAGCCCCCCTACCCGTCGGATCGCACAGAGGGCCCCCTCGGAGCAGCCCACACACAATCACGCATCGGCAGAGTTAGTGCCTGAGTCAGGCAGACAGCACAGACAAGGAGAGGAGAGCGAGAGAGGAGAGAGAGAGAGAGGAGAGAGGAGAGGGTGAGGGAGTGTGTACACGTGAGGAGTGGGGAGGGTGTCTGTGGTGGGTTTTAGTCCTACTACGTGGTTAAAACCACGCGCCCCTCAGGAGCTTAAGGTAGAGCTGAGCGTCCAAGACGCCTCGGTGCCTCCCACCGGCGTGAGACCATCCGGATCTATCTGCCGCGTCCTCCGTACGCAGCAGTCCCCGCGATGGCCCACGGTCCGCCGTCGCCTGGTTGAGCCCCCTGCCTCCCGGTTGACCCCCCGGTCCCCGTACTCGACCATGAAACAAACTCAAAGTCCACCACAGCCACCAGCCTCCACCTCCACCGTCGAGCCGCGATCGCTGCCGCCCGCGACGCCGCCCGCCGCGTCAGATAGCCGCGACGCGCGCATCGAGTCGCGTCGGAGAGCCGCGCCGCACCAGCAGCAGCATCTGCACCACCAGCAGCAGCAGCAGCACCACCACCACCACCCCAGAGAGAAGCGCACCTGCCCGACGCCGCCCGCCGCGTCAGACGCTCGCGACGCGCGCGTCGAGCCCAGTTGCACAGCCGCGCCGCGCCAGCAGCAGCATCGGCACCAGCAGCAGCAGCACCACCACCACCAGCAGCAACAGAGACAAGCAGTGCAGGCGCAGAGGCGCTCGCAGAGCGGCGCTCAGCGCCGCGCACGCCACGCTGCGGACCGTCGGACGAGCGCACCGTACGTCGGCGGCGAGCCGCGTCGCCAGCCGTCTCGCGAGAGAGCGGCGCCGCCGCGTGCGCGCAGCAGCCGCCGCGGCAGAGGCGAGCCGCGGCGACGTCCGCACTAACGGATAACGGCCATTGGCGGTTTTCTCTCTCTCTCTCTCTCTCTCTCTCTCGTGGGCGGGGCCTCTACTCGCCAGTATTTTGGCGGTTGTTTTGACGGGCCCTTACACGCCGCTCAACCAACATGGTGCGCTCGCAGCCTCCGCGCCGTTCGAGCCCGACCGCCATCCGCCTCCACGCGCCGGTCCGCCTCGGCTCTGCAGGGCAAGCGGGGAGTGTCGGCCGACGAAAAGAAGCAGCGCATGCTCGGCATGTTTCACGCTTCGCGTGCAGTGTACACCATGAAGGACATCGAACGCGACGCGCCCAAGTGACCCTCCTCCCCGCCAGTACGGCCGGCGCACTCGCACCGAACGCCGGGCCGCGGTCGTCGCAGGCTCGGCATCATCTCCAACGCAGTCAAGGACGTGCTCAAGGAGCTCGTGTGCGACGACCTCGTGCACGAGGAGAAGGTCGGCATCTCGACCTACTACTGGTCCTTCCCCGGCGAGCTCGGCGCCAAGAAGCGCGGCGAGGCGGCCGCCATCCGCCAGCAGACGGCGCTCGCCCGACCCCGATCCCGCCGCACACCAGCGCGTCCCACTCCCCTCTCCCCTCCTCCAAACTCGCGAGGCAGCCATTCCGCCCCTCGCTCCGTCGTCTCGCGATGCCGCCTCCACCGCCACCCTCCCGCACCCTCCCGCACCCTCCCGCACCCTCCCGCACCCTCCCTCCCGCCCCGCCGCACGCAGGCGCGGATGCGAGCCGAGGCATCGCAGCTTCGCGCGGCGGCGGCCGAGCGTTCGGCTCGCGACGGCGGCGCGGGTGCGGGCGAGCTGTGGTCGAGCGTGTGGCGCCTTCCCCCACCCGACGCCACGCCTCCCGCGTGCCCTCAGGCCCCGAGGAGGGCGTGGAGGCGGAGCGAGCCACCGCGTCCATTGCTGCGCTGCAGGCAGCACCTCCCCTCCACCTCCCCTCCACCTCCCCTCCACCTCCCCTCCACCTCCGCGACCAAAACCACTCCCTCCCTGTCGGTGGCTCGACCGGCCCCCGCCTCCCTACCCAAACAGGCGCAAGAAGCCAAGCTCGACGGCGCGCTCGAGGCGCCGCCGCCCGACGCCCTCGCCGCCAACCCCCTGCCGCCACGGCTCTCGCCGCCGCCGCCGCCGCCGCCGCCCCTCCCGCCGCCTCCGGCTCCGCCCTCCGTTCCGGCCCTCACCGCCCCCGCGCGCACCAGGCCGACAAGCTCGCCGGCGTCCTCGACCTGCGCCAGCGCCTTTCCGACCTGCCGCACCTGAAGGACGCAGCCAACCGCTGGACGGACAACTGCTTCGAGGTGCGCAAGAAGTTCATCGAGAAGTTCAACATGGATGCGAAGGAGGTGGACAAGCACTTTGAGATCCAGGGGCTCGACTACATCGACTGACGTGCCCGCGGCCTCGTCTGTCGCCGACGAGCAGCTGCGGCGCCGAGAGTGACGGCCTCTGGCATGGCCGGCTCCGCTCGCGAACCAGCGGAGGAGAACTGCCGCACCGCGACAGTCTACGTCTGGCATGTGTGAGCCTCTGCCACGATTTGTTGTGTGGGCGGGTGTAATCTACAGGAGCAGATACCGGTCGGCGCATGTTTGGGGGTGGCTGTGGGGTGAGAGAGAGAGTGGTTGGGGTGTGCTTCTGGCGCGCGAGGTTTGAAATTCTTTTTACGAAGCAAAGAAGAAAAACAAACAACCAAGCGAGAAGTCAAAACGAGGGGTGGGAGAGGGAGGAGGACAGGGTCCCAACCTGCACGAGCAGAATTTTGGAAGGACGAGCAGGGGCACAGGGGGTTCTCTCGAGATGGGGTCCCCCAGCCCGCCGCAGGCGCCGATTTTTTGGCCTTTTTTCTTTTTCGCGCGATTTTTTACTTGTTTTCATGGGAATCCGGCGTACTTGCGGCCATGCTATCACGCCTTGCGACATCCTTTCGGCGCTGCTGACCGTGCCATGCTGCTCAACTGACCGCCTGCATAGCTCGCGGCCTTAGTCTTCGGCATTCAGTGACGACCTGATCGTACGGCCAGTAGGAAGGTGTCCTTCCAGCGCGTGCACGCTTCTGACGCAATGCGCGTCACAAACTGCCTCGGATTGGCTGCTGGCACTCTCGAGGCTATGCCTACACAGCCTCGCGCGCATGGGCAGTCAAGAGGGACCATGCACCTTCTCAGGACAGCGCCGGTGCCTCTCTCTTGGACCGGCAAACGTGGTGGTCTCGTGTCACCGATGTGGGACCAGTGCGCGGCATCGCGCCATCGACAGCTCTGAACTGCGCCTCACCACTGACCGGGAAGGCCGCCAAGTGGGTCAGCACCGGTCGCATATTGTGGCAGCAGTCAGCAGCGCATATCTGATAGCTAGAGCAGCAGCGTCAGTGTCGCAGGGTCGGATCGTGTCAAGCCTCTCGCCCGGCCGGCCGCGTGCAGACGTCGGCCTGTCTGCTGTCTGGAGTGATCTGTCGGCGGTCAGTACGACCGATCAGGTCGGAGTTTTCTGATGGTTGGAGGGTCTATCTGTGTGTACTCCTCGAGATCTCTCCAAATCTGCCCTCTGATTAACCTAGCTTAATCGGGAAGTCGGTGCTAATAGAGACTAATAGAGCCGGAGCCCCGTTTCCGCACTGCTGCGCGGCGCACGGTGCCTCCGGGGGCCCCCGCCTCCCCCACAGAGCCTGCGACAAGGGACACGACAGGCTCGCAGCGCGGTGCTCGGGGGGCTCCCAAAACCCTGTACAAGCGGTTGGTCAGTTTCCCCTTGGTGGTGCACATGTATCGGTCAAATTCTTTTCCTAATGAAACGAAACGCGGTGGATCGGCGAGTGTCGGGCAAGTTGCCCATCCATGCGACCTCTCTTTCTTACCCCACACGAGTCACCAACTACATCACTCATCCGCCTATACCCACACCAAACCCACTCAGACGTCCGCTCGTCACTTTCGATATCCAGAACCAGCACCTGGACTCCGCTCGAGACCTGACTCGTCCCGATTCCCGACAGGACACGATGGAGGCACCAAGACCACAAGCTCCGCCGGCGAGCCCAAAGACGCGGTGGAAGCTACCTCCGGGTGGATCGCTGCTTCTGGAGTCCGTCTACAGCGTCCAGCCCTGCCCTTCCCTTCCTACCCGCGCCTCACTGGCAGAGCAGCTCAAGGCGACGACGCGGCAGGTGACTGTCTGGTTCCAAAGTGAGTCCGCACTGCGGGAGGGCGATACTCACAGCACCGGCCCACCCACTCCTCGTCCTCATTGCGCAGACAAACGCTCGCGCGACGTGAACATCCACAAGCCGGACAAGCAGAAGCTCCCGTCTCCGAGGCTGCCCGGCACCGAGACGGCCCGCAAGCCCTCCTCGGCAGACAAGTGGGCGGGGGCGGGCGACTCGACGAGCGGCGGGCCGCAGCCGTGGGTCGCAGCCGGGCGCAGCACCGCGGCTGTGCAGCGGCCCGGCCCGGACCTCCTCTGCACGCCTCAGGCGGTGGTGCAGGCTCTGGTCGAAACAGCTCCGCCGCCGGCAGCTCTCTTCCGGGCGGCGGGCGGCGGCTCGTTTGGGAGGGCGGCGGCCATGGCGCCAGCGCTCGTGGCGCCAAATGCAGTGCCGGTGCCCTGGCAGTCGTCGCGGGCCTCCCTCATGGCCGTGATGGCGCTGGAGCAGCAGCTCGGAGGGGCACCTCTCGACCTGGCGACGGCTCTCAAGGCGGCGTGCGGGGCGGGCGGGGAGGGAGGGGCGGCGGGCGCGGCGGTTACGATGGGTGCGGCGGGCGGGAGCAGGGGCAGGCTCGAGATCCCCAGACTCGAGCCGCCGCCGCCCGGGGAGCAAGACCTTTACCGCACCGCGTCGCTCAAGGCGATCTCATCCCCTGCCCTCCCCTTCCATGCCCTCCCCTTCCTTGCCCTCCCCTTCCTTGCCCTCCCCTTCCATGCCCTCACCCCGCTGGCCTGCTGCCGTCTCCTGGCCCCTCACCGCTGGCTTGCTGCCCCCCTTCCCCCGGCCCGACACCAGCCACGGCTCCGACCGCATCTCCCGCCGGGTGCAGGAGCTCGCCAGCCTGTGCGCAGGGTCGATCCACAGCTCGATCTCGCACGACTCGCAGCAGGCAGACGCCGCGCAGGCGCGCCAACCCCTGCCGTGTGCTTGGGCTAGTTGGAGATGGAGGGAGGGAGGGGGGGGGGGGGGGACGCCTTTGCGATGCGAGAGGACCGCCCCGGCCGCAGGCGCTCGGCTCAATCTCGCGGATGGCCTCGCTCGGGGACCTCTCCGCGTTCGAGTCCTGCCTGGACAAGAGCAGCGAGTAGCCACTCTCTCCCGTCGATGAACCCCCCCCCCCCGGCGGCTAGAGCCGCCCTCTGAGGCAGCAGAGCAGTTTTGAACGATCCGCATGCGCGCGTGCTCTCCCTCCCTCCCTCCCTCCCTCCCTCCCTCCCTCCCTCCCTCCGTCTTTCCCCCTACCTCTCTCCCGGTCTCCCTCTCTATCGCTCTTTAGCTACTCGTTCGGCCTCTCACTCTCTTGTCTGTCATTCTGTGAGAGCTCTTACTCGCATGCATCTCGCGTCTTGTCCATCTTCTACGTGTCTACGCGAAGTAATACGTAATATGTGAAAAGGTGTCGTCTGTAAGAGAGACACGTGCAAAATAAAGCACCCTTTGTTTTTACGTTACTACGCATTACTTCGAGTATTCAGTATAGATAGAGGGGGGCCCACAGCGTCCTAATCTAAAATCTGAGGATTAAGGATTCAGACTTCGCTTTAGTGAGGCCAAAGTGAGTTTATGGATGGGTGAGAACGGTACGGGACGCGAGGAGTCACGCGGACCGACTCGTCGGCGACTTTGCTGCACGCCGTCTCAGAATTTTTCTCAGCGTGAGCGAGACGTGGAAGAGTGCCACCGTCGGGTAGGACAGGTCGGCCCGGAGTATCAGAGTAGCCGTCGTGGTCGTGGCGCTTAGGGGACCCCTAGGGTTCTGAGGGCCGGATTTTTTTAAGACCTTTTAAGAGATTGGCGGCTCCAGAGCCGCCTCGGTGCGTTTAAGAGATTGGGCCCATGCTGCCGCTCCCATTTAAGAGACCATTTAAGAGAATCGCACACCGCGCCCAACCTGAGCCATTTGAGCCATTTAGAGCGTTTAAGCGCGGGGAGGCTGGCGGGCGGGCGGGCGAGCGAGCGGGCGGGCGGGCGGCAGAGAGCGAAGCGCTCTCGGGGCCGAGCGAAGAGCTTTCGCCGCCCGTCGGCAAGTTTTGAGTATAGACCATTCATGGTGTGATCGCGTTTAAGGGCGCGGGGAGGCTGCCGAGTCGTTTGACCGTTTAAGACCGTTTAAGGAATCGGCGGCCCAGCAAGCCTGTTCATGATTACAATAGTATTCAAGTATTGTACTCAGAATACACGTGCATCGTGAGTACTCAACTCATGAGTACCACCGCAGTTGAGTATTCATACTCATGAGTACGTCTGGCGCATGCGTGAGTACTTGTACTCAAGTCCATGAATACTACTGGCCAGTCGGTCACGTCCCAAAACGCGCTCCCTGAGACTCGACCGACCGCTATCTCTGCTCCAGCGCTTCGCATATGCCACCAAAGAGGAAGAAGGCCCAGCCTCGACTAGAAGTGCAAAAATACAAGCTGCTTCGGCAGCCGATGAATCTTATCGGCACGCAGGTCAAGTTCCTCGGGTCGTTCTGGGAAGGGCGCATGACGGCCGAAGAGAAAGCTACGGAGAACCTGTGCACGGTGCTTGACTGGAGTACCTGTGCACGGTGCTTGACTTTCAGATCGCTCACCGCATGCAGCCTGGCGCCCCGCCGATGCTGGCAGACCCCAACCTCAACCCGGCCCACCTCGCTGTGCTGGTCAGGATTGGCTTCAACAAGAAGGCCTTCGAGCCGGCAGTGGCAGCGATCAAGGAGAAGTACTACGAGCTGTTCCGAGGCAAAGGGGGCGAGCACAAGGAGGGCTCCTCGGGCGCGGCCGGTGCGGCATCTTCATCGGCGGCCGGGGCGGCCGGGGCGGCTTCGTTCGTCGTCGGATGCCGCCGACGTGGCATCGTGAATATCTAGCCGCGGTGCCCTGTATTGTCTGTGGCTCCGTTTGTGTGTTTTAATTTTGGTCATTATTCTCTTCACAGCGCACGCGAGCCGATAGCCCGGTCATGAACAAGGTTACTTCCCCCATGCGCAGGGCTCCTCTTTGCTTTCTTCTACTCCCTACTATCATCTCGTTCCCGTCCTACCAGAGAAGGTTACTTCCCCCAGGATTGGTCTTCTCTGCCTGCGGGAACACCCTCGGGCGGCCGGGTGGGGCTGCGGCTGGAGCTAGCATGGCTCGATAGAGCCGAGACCCCGTGTTGAGGCGGCGCTCCTGTGGGCGGCTGTGGAATCGGGAGATTCGACCTTAGATCTCCAGTTATCTCATCCCAGTGGATGGACGTCCGGACGTCCCTTTGTGTTCCTCTCGCCGTCCGCCAGCGAGACGCTCTGTCGCTGGCGGCCGCAGTTTTCTGTGACCCACCCACCTCTCCCTTGTGTTTTGTCTGGGGAGGGGCTTCTCCTGCGGAGTCGTGCGTGCGCAGGGCTCCTCTTTGCTTTCTTCTACTCCCTACTATCATCTCGTTCCCGTCCTACCAGAGAACGACAAATCCTCTATCGAGCCACGCCACTAACTAGCACTACTGGCTGCCTAATCCTCAATGCCCTCTTCAAACTCAGCAATCGCAGCCTTCACAGCCTCATCTTCCGCCTTTCGGTACTTCTTCACTGCGCCGTTCAGCTGCGCCTTGCCGCAGTTCTCGTACAGCTCCTCAAGCTCAACCCAGCGTGTATCGGCAAAGCCTGCGTCATGCTGGTCCTCTTTGAACGTGCCGCGCGTGAGGTAGCAAATGGTGTTGTCGGCAGCAGCCAGCCTGTTGCGCCGCTTCTTTCCGATCAGTTGATCGGGGTCGCAAAAGCGCATGCCGAGCACCGCCTCAATCTTGTAGCAGAATGTCGGCACGACCGCGTCTCCGCACCGCCACCTGCCAGCCGCGCCTGGCGCTGCGCCGCAGCCGCTCTCTGGCACTTGTAACGGCAGCACATGGTGCGGTGCGCGTACTTGAGCAGGCGGTGCGCGCCGCAGTTGGCGCAGGGACCCTGGGAGTAGGGCGTGCGCGGCATGTGGACGCGCGCTCGGGTATTTCTCGGGTATACCTGGACTTTTGCGGGTATACCCGGGTTTTACCTGCAAGTTGCTCACGCACTTGTATTTGAATACATTATTCATATTCATGAGTACAGGCAGACGTGAGTATTCATATTCATGGATACCAGGCGTCATGACTACTCATACTCAACAATACACGCTGCCAAAGGATGAGTTGAGTTACTCATTGTAATCTTGAATAGGCTTGCGGCCCAGCAGCTCTTAAAACTTGCCTAGGCAAGTTTTAAGCCGTTTAAGCCGCAGGCGCCCCAGGGCCCACCCTTTTAAGCCTAGGGGTCCCCTAAGTCGTGGCGAGCAGCGCCGGCCACTCCGGCGCCGCGTCGGCAACATGGGAGCATGTCCACCGCCACTTCGCGGTCACAGCGCTGTTTGTCGCCCAAACAAAACGCCTAATGTACCTCTGGCGGGCCAAAGATCGACTCGCATGTCGATTTCGACTTGACGGGCGCATGCAGGCATCACGGTGTCGATCACGTCTCCATGCGCCCGTCAAGTCGGAGCCAGTCTGCGGCGACCACAGCCCTCGCAGGAGGTACATTAGAGCTTTTCAGAGTCAAGCGATGGCGCGAAATCCCACAGTGGTGGATTTTGGGGCGCTGTGGGCCCCCTAGGCCCTAGTAATAGACACACACGTAGAAGTCAAGGTAGTCGCTCGAGAGATGCATGTGACTTGCGAGTGCGGTAAGAGCTCCTCACAGAAATCAGAATGGCAGGGTGTAAAGTAATAAAGGGGGACCACGACTGTCCCCAGAACCCGTGAGATGGAGAGTTGACGCGCACGGGGAGGTTCGCCGCTCTCACCCATCGGCACACCCCCGTCGCCTTTACCACACCAAAACCTGCGCTCCCTCCCGTCCCTCTCTCCTCGGGGTCCCTCGCCCCGGGCTCGTCCCACGCCGCTCGACCCCAAGCGCCTCACTCGAACTGGAGCATGCGGAGGGGGTCGTTGCGCCAGCAGGTGCGCCCCGCCTCGCCCCGGTCGAGCGAGTCGATCGCGGCCATCTCCGGCTCGGAGAGCGAGAAGTGGAAGAGGCGCGTGTTCTCGGTCGCGCGCGCCTCGCGGTTCGCCTTTGGGAATGGGGACGAGGCATAGCCGAGATGCAGCCGAGATGCAGCCGAGATGTAGCCCAGATGGAACAGCGGCAGCCGCCTTGGGGATGACGATGATGCGCTTCTGCAACGCCCAGCGAAGCAGCACCTACAGTGCAACACAAATCAGTGATATGTGTATTGTACTCTGACAACACCGCCCATCGAAGCATCGCCTGAGCCGCCGTGGCGCCGTGCGCCTCTGCCGCCGCGGCGACGGGAGGCGCCTCGAGCAGCGGCCCGCCGAGCGAAGCGGTGGTCGCCTTGTGGCCACTTCACGGACGGGTGGTGGACAGGTGGTGGACGGTGGTGGTGGACGGGTGGTGGACGGGTGGTGGACGGGTGGTGGACGGGTGGTGGACGGGTGGTGGACGGGTGGTGGACGGGTGGTGGACGGGTGGTGGACGGGTGGTGGACGGGTGGTGGACGGGTGGTGGACGGGTGGTGGACGGGTGGTGGACGGGTGGTGGACGGGTGGTGGACGGGTGGTGGACGGGTGGTGGACGGGTGGTGGACGTGTCGGTGGTCGCCTTTGACGCATCTTGCCCTCCGAGCGACGCGTACGCCTGCAGCACGAGGGCGTCCGTCGCATGAGACATGAGAGACTCCACAAGCTCAGTCTTGTTGTGTCGGTCTCGACTGCACGCGCCTGCAACACGATGCCCTCCTCGGCGCAGTACGCCTGCAGCTCCCGCTGCTGGTAGTACGGGTTGAGCTCGACCTATGCACCACTTGGCCACTTGGCCGTGGCGGAGGAGGGGAGGCAGGGGGTAGGACGGGAGGCAGGGCGGACGAGGGGAGGCAGGGCGGAGGACGGGAGGCAGGTCGGAGGAGGGGAGGCACGGCGGACGACGGGAGCCAGGGCGCATGACGGCAGGCAGGTCCGAGGCCGCGCGGCAGGGCGGAGGAGGGGAGGCAGGGCGGAGGCGGGC